CCACTTCGGATTATTTGAAGATCTGAAAGGTCGTTTAGTTGTTAGGAGTCAGTAAATTATTTTGAAAATTGTGACATTATTGCAATGCATATAATATAATTACTTTAAAAGGTTTAAGGTGGTGTAAGAAAGAAAAACTTGAAACTGTACTAAAATTTATTATACAAAATTAAAATAAAACAATTGTGGCTCTTGCACTTTTATCATCGCTTATCTACATACATAAATAATAATATTTTATAACTAACTAAAATTTGTATTAATCTGACAATAATACTCATCTGTAATAAAAATACAGCAATATGCATTTCAATTTCATCCTTAGGCAGATAAATTTGACTAGCTTGTAGCCAGTTGCTTTAGGTTACGTATTATATCATATTTACAGGTATTCTGATGTGTATGTATGTATGTATGTATATATGTATACTTGGTAACTTTAAGTACTGAAAATTTTATTCACACTTACAGGTATTACTCTACTAAAATAAATCACAATGCTATTAAGATGGCAAAACAAATTTATAAAATATGGGCACTTGAAAAATAATAGACTTATTAATTAAAGCACTTGTTAAATGTTGTTTTACAAGTGTGGATTACACCTGAACAAATTATTAACAATTAATTTCACAATTTTTTTTATATAAAATACAAAAAATATTAAGTCACCTAAGAAGCTAGTATTCGAGAGCTAGATTAATGTACAGTAATGAGCTCTGTCACTCCATCCAATATAACAATCTTAAAAATTAAAAATCACAATATTCTGCTACCTTCTTTTACATAAAAAAAATAGTAAGTAGCTTTGATATAGATACGTTCAGGGAATGTATTAATTAATATTATTATTATTATACTTTGTTTTTTAAAAGACACTCAAAGAAGGCCTCATCGATTCTTTTATTTAAATATTGCGACAAATAACTATGTTTCTAAATTAAAAAATAGGGCACGTACCATATGTGGCTTACGAGTTTGCGCAGTGTAGGCATTTTTTCTAAGCTTTTTTCTTTAATCGAGTTTAACAGCACCTATGAAATCTAAGTAAGTACGATATGACGAAATGTTTCGTATCATTGTGAATACAACAATTTATACTACTATGTCATTAAATTTCATTAACAATGACTTATATGTTCAAAAGACAAAATCATTAAAATGCAAGGTAGGTACCTTTTGGCGTACCTATGTATATAAAAGCTTACAGAAAAAAAAAAACGATTGGGAAAGAAATTATTAAACAAAAATGGCATTTTCTGCGTCAGTACAAATCTTGGTAAGAATTATTCAAAATAGTATATTGCTTTGGTAACAAATAGTACTGGGAATTAAATAATTAATTTCTAAGCTTTCTGATTAACATGTACTACATATAAAATAAATCATAGCCTTATTATCAATCGAAGTGCTAAATTAAAAAGTAATGTACAATNATATGACGAAATGTTTCGTATCATTGTGAATACAACAATTTATACTACTATGTCATTAAATTTCATTAACAATGACTTATATGTTCAAAAGACAAAATCATTAAAATGCAAGGTAGGTACCTTTTGGCGTACCTATGTATATAAAAGCTTACAGAAAAAAAAAAACGATTGGGAAAGAAATTATTAAACAAAAATGGCATTTTCTGCGTCAGTACAAATCTTGGTAAGAATTATTCAAAATAGTATATTGCTTTGGTAACAAATAGTACTGGGAATTAAATAATTAATTTCTAAGCTTTCTGATTAACATGTACTACATATAAAATAAATCATAGCCTTATTATCAATCGAAGTGCTAAATTAAAAAGTAATGTACAATGGGAAAACGAAATACTGTGATGTTTATTAGACTTATTTCCTAAGAAAGAGATCACGATTTCTCTTAGTAGTGCCTATGTCATGTTAAAATAAGGTCATAATTTGGGAAACTATCCTGTTCACCTGTTCATCATTAAAAAAATACAAGTTGGAATGGTGGTTTTCAATACATATTAAGAGAGCATTTATTTTTGTATTATAAGGTAATATACCTGCAAAAGTTGACGGTTAAAAGAGCAAAATAATTAAATATGGCATGGTACAGAGTATATGAAATGAAAACAATAAGGGTAAGAAGAATTTTTTGAAAAAAAAACTATTAAAAAAAAAGAACAATGACAATGTCACTTTTCTTCTTCGAAAATAAAATACTACCACCACTTGAAAACACGTAACATATGTA